TAACAATAACGAAACGTGAAAATAATCAGGAATGAATGAATAAATGAAAGAAAAAATGAATGAAAAAATGTATAAGAAAAAACATGAAATTGAGAAGAGATTAATTACAATGCATCCATGCACTTATTCCACGAAAAAGAAAGAAAAACTCACCTATCTTTCCCTTCTGCAGGGTAGCTCACGAAAGCTCGGAGCAATTCTTAATGTAAATAAATGTTGGCTCCCAATGACGACAAGTCGATATGTGTCCAATAAATTTGTAAATAATTTTTAATGCTCACTTTTTTTAATAGAATGAAATGTCGTCTCTGAGTTGTCAAGGATTTTGACTTCGAGTTTTTTTAAATTATTTTTAAAATTGTTAAAACAGTTATAACATATAAATAGTAACTTTATTATAGATTTCTTCTTAGAAAATTTACAATTAACCTCTCTATCTCACGAATTTCAAAATATTTTTAGAGCAGAACAAAATTTGATTAGACTATCGAACTATCGACGTGAAAGCATTTGTTATACGCATATTATATTCAATTCACCATAACAACAGCCAAACTTCTTATCAGCAAATTCGATTACTGCGTGAATAAAAGCCCATAAAACAATTTCTACATTGTAATAAATTTTCATGTTCAAACAGGTAACATTGAACAGCATAGATTTCTTTCACAACAAAACTAGATTGCGTATTAACCGCAATCAATAATTTATGAAACTATAAAAATATTGGCGCTCTACGTACATGACAATAACAATGTGACACACTTTATTACAACATAATTACTGTTAAGAACGTTACAAAACAACAACAACAAACACGAAACAACATAACATAACATGCATGTGAAATCTTTACAGAGCAACAATGAGTCCTATATGTTTAGCTCGTGTTAAGCTCAGCATTTTATTCATTGTTTAACGTTTCAAATAATAATCTGCGAACCGACTAACACGCTCACAAAGCATCTACTGGCGATTTAACTTCTTTGACCAGCTGACGACAAACAGATTATTCAATTAGGAACAAGGAAGATAAACACTTTCCAATCTTTCATCTTTCTTGGTTAATAAAACAACATTAAGAACGTTGAGGAGTCTCATGGCATTGAAAATTATACTCAACTGAGTTGAGTAGTAAATCCACGAAAATATATGGCAAATCAAAAGAAAATTTTTGATCAAATTTCATTTTAAAAGATGATAATTAACAACTCAGAAAACAAGATTTCAGAAAAATGAAAATAAATCATAAATGTGACGCAATGATTTGCCAATTTGCCCTTCATAACAACATCATTCGGTAAATTTTGTTAAAATAAAAAAAAACCACTTATTTAAAAGAGACAAATTGTAAAAAAATGTTAAATAAACAAAAAATGTTGCCGAGTGCTCCTAAACCTTATAGCTCCTAATGCATGTACGAAATCTTCTGCAATAGTACATCTTACTCTACTTCTATATTATGAAATTTTACTTAAGAAACAAATTGGTGAGCCAAATTTAAATTTGAGAAACATATTAAGACATCATTGAAAACATGGAATGATTAGATTGAATTTAATGATTAACTATTCTTGTTAGACAAGTTCAAACGGTTTGATAGTTCTCATAGCTGATATTGTATTTTATAGCAAAGGCCATTCTGCAATTTTACAATAATTGTCAACCATCTAAATTCTAAAATATGAATAATGATTGGGTGATGCAGGAAAGCTAGAGATTGAATATTTTATTAAGTTTCACGAAAGCTTCTTGGTCAACATTTTACAACCAATCAAGTTTTGTAGTTTAATTCAAATGATATTTTGTATGTTGAAAAATTTGTAGATTTACAATATAGATTGCTAAAAAGTATCAAAAGTTCAATAATAAGATTTCAGTTTCCATTTGACAAAAAACCTGTCCAAATGTCAAACGTCCTTCAAAAGGTAATTAAGAAATTTAATTTTTTCTCCGACTTGTCTGATGGCAGGCAGATTAATTGAAGATAGATCATTTGAAGACAGGTGCGTCGTGAAGGACAGCCAGCCGATTCTCGGCAACTAAACAAAATCAAAATGCAAAACAGACTGCAACAAAAGCTTTGAAAATCGATAGATGGGTACACGTAGTCATGGATACATTGAAACCAAACGCAACAAGACAACTGCTGGTTTCAAAGTTTGTTAGTTTAAAAAATAATTAATTCAATTCTGATGTTTGTGTTTAGGTTTAATTATTTCGAAACGATTTATTCACACACACACAATAAGGTACATAAAAAGAAGATTGAAAAAGTTAAAATCTTAAAAAATTATTCCACTTGAAAACCCAGTTAACGAAGGGTTATGCGTGTTGTTGGTGTTTAACAAACTACCAAGCATCTTCATAAATCTAAAGCTTTGACGTCATCCAAATCCAAAAAGTTAGTAACTAAAATTCCTTGTACTTAGAATACTAAAAATAGAACGAATTTTACACAATAATATTTATCTTTGGTAGGTAAAAGTAAACTTAAAAGATGGCTTCCAAAATAATCAAAACAACAGCTCGTCAAGTGTCTCCAGTTTTTTCACTAAACAGTTCTGAGGCGAGAAGACGTGTGCTGAACTTGTACAGGGCCTGGTACAGGCAGATCCCGGTGTTAGGTTTGTGTTACTTTGCGGTTTCATCTTTTTTTTGGTGGTGACCTTGCTTGTTGTTGCGGTTGCGTTTGATGATGAGAACACCGAACCAGAAGAGCAGTGAGCGGGAGAAGAAAGGAATAGTATTCGTTTGGATAGTCTGGACACGTGTTTCGTCCCTACCGGGGACTCATCAGCAGCCCGAATACCTATCAGAATAGTTATCTTATAAAGTTTCTTATAAAGCCCGCACAAATCAATTCCTTATTTCGTGGTGTTTTATTTATTAGTCTTTTTAATCGCTAGGATTTTCAATCTGACATTGTTCATGTCTGCAATGAACTTCTGGTTATTTTAATATTTGTCTGTTTGAAAAAGCAAAAAGAAAAAATATTTTTGTTTTATTTTTGTCACAAAATGCAAGAAACTTTAATTAATTAAATTTTGAACCAATTTTGAATATAATAAATTTGTTTAGTCAAAAACGTTTTCAAACCCATTTTGGCTTTAATTTAATTAATAAATTTAGTTTAGTGTTAGTTAGTCCAACAAAAATGTTTTCAATTTTGCAACTTTAAATAGTGGGTCAGACTAATTGGCTGACTTGCATTGTAACAATTTTAGCAAGATGAATAAAAGACTCACTTCTCATATCTTTAGATCTTAAATCTTAATGGATCAAAAATTGTTACAGTTTTTCATTTAAATGAAGTTATGCCTTAAAAAAACCAATGCATGCCTATTTAGTATTTTTAATGTATTTAAAACAACTAATAACAGATTTTTATTTAGAGAGCATTTGTATTTTTGGAATATATTTTAACACTTGGCCATATTTTTTGTAACTATACCTGTAAGATTGTAATAGAACATATGTAACCCTCGAAATTTGTTTTTCTGTAAAGGTGCACTGCTCAAATAATTGATAAATCAATATCTGCTCCTCTAGTAAGCCACAAGTTATCTACTTTCTCAAAATTAATTAAATTGGTGCTGCAAAATTTGACTCCAACAGTAGCTGCATCAAAATCTATGATTTCCAAATTGTTAGGCATACTGCACCTAATAAGGATTGTTTCTGTATTAGTATGTTAATTCTCTTTTCATCATACATTATTGATATTTTATCTACGAATCTTTTTTCTTTCTACCTGCACTCTTTATCTCACTCCTCTTGTTCTTATTTCAAACATCTTCATAAACCAAGTTCTTAAGTTTAAGTTAGTTGAAAGGTTTTATGTAACAATTCAATTTTGGAGCATAAATAATTTAAAAATTAATATAAAAATTTTTTCCAGTTTTGAAGTATGATGTTCCATTAACCGTCAAAGACTTCAGAAAGAAGTTGCATGAAAGGTTTACAGAGAACAGGAGCATTACTGACATTCGAGTAATTGACATGCTGGTTGTCAAGGTTACTCATTTTTTTATCATTATGTTTTAAGATTATTGGGTTGAACATTGTATAAAACAAATCAATGTTGCATTACCAACAACACCAGCAGAACATGTTATTTCAGACATGAGTTGGGCTTTTCTTAGAAGTTAAAACATGGGTCAAATCAGCAATGAATTGGTCTGGGTTTATGCAAAAAGGAAGATAAATTACAAATGAATCACATGATCTTGTCTATACTATAGTCATTCAATCATGTTTCAGCTATCACATTAAATTTAATGCTTACATAAGATTGTAAAATAATCAAGGTGTTAATTTTATATAAAAGACTAAGTTAAATGGATCACAAGTTCCAGAGAATATAAGGGGGTGTCCAATATTTGTTGCTAGTATTGTACTTTTTTGTAAGAACAAAAACACAAAAATTCTAACTAACTTCTAACTACATTTCTAAAATAAACCCAAAATTAACAACACAATGTCGAATTAATTTCTGAAATACAAGAAAAACATTGTGAAATTTAACTGTATTTAATCATTAGAAAGCTGTGCTGATAATTTCTCTTGCACCAATAAACCATTTCTTAAATGTTATACTCAATGCTTTTTTTAACAGGGGCAAATGGATCTTGTAGAAGCTGTGAATATCTGGAAAACAAAGGGCCACATCATGGCTTACTTTGATAAGACTCCAAAAGATACACCATCTGATTTTCTTTCAAAGTTTTACAATGGCCAGGATTGAAGAAATTTGTGGCGATCAATTAATTGAATGTTTTCAGTTTAACTAACTACGAATGTAGGATAATTCTAATAAATTGCTTTAACAAAGAACAATGTATGAATAAAATATATAAACATAATTTTTATAATATGCAAAAATATAGTTTATAGAATTCATTGTTATTCATAATGATGATTTTTCGCAATAATCATTAATTATCAAACTTGTGGTTGTTTTCTTTCATTTCAATTGTTTGTATTTCGTTCTTGTGCGAATAAATACTGCGGTAATTTACTTTGCACAATTTTTGCAGTTTATGAGCTTGTATTGGTTGTTGCCACCATACTTGATAACTACATTGCTGTTTGTTGTACTTCTTGTACCTGGTTGAACATCTGACTTTTAATTTCTTTTTCTGCTAAGCACCGTTTGTCTAAATTTGTAAACGAGAGTTTTGTCAATAAATAAATAATATTCTTTTAATTTCTTGTATTTCCTTTCTCAGATTTAACCATAGTTTAGATCCCACCAAAATGTTTAAATGTCGTTCAGGATGTGCGAAAGTGACCTGCCATTGTTTCCATATTTCTTTTCACTTTCGAGTCAAGTCTCCACTTTCTACCTTATATCATTCCATCGATCACTATAAGTAGCACACGATCAGCTAGTTATTGCCCAACAGGAGCCATCTGGCCACCAGTCCAGTCAGTCACTCAGGGGGATTTTCATAAACTACTCTCGAAATCTGTGTGAGGGACACATATCTTGATTGTATCGGAAATCAAGATATGTGTCTCAGTGATTGTGGTGCCTGGCAAGATTCTGATCCAAAACGGTCCCCACCTATCAATATGCAACGTGTGTTATGGATTGATTCGCATTTGCTGGTTGTTGATACCTCTTTTAAATTGAAGGAATTGAAATATGAAAAAAGTGATTGATTTGATTGAGGTCGAATGATCTCGCAAATGACTTCTTTTTAAAATCGTTTGCAATGCTTTGCATATGCAATCAATTTTTTATGATAAATCTTCAGTCAAAGTTTTAACCAATTGTTTAGTATTTTTCAAAAAAATTGCGACACAATTACATTCAATCAATTTTCATTATAAAACTGCGATACCTTTTCTGAGATGATGTTGATCTTTCGTTGATGATACCCGTTTATCTTTTGATAATAATAATAACAATATATCTGCTGATTGTTTATAATATGCGTGCATTCTTCTCCAGCAACTTTTTTCCGTTTCCATGTACAAAATGAACTGAATAAATGGGAAATTTTGACTTAACATGTAGAAATATATTTTTAACATCAAATAAAATATCAACTCACGTTCAAACATTGATAAGCAATGATCTTTCGCGAGATTTTCAAACTACATACTATCAAAAACATTGGCTATGTGTAAAAAAGCACTAAAAGACAGAGCAAGCACACTTACTTGTTTGTAAAAAAGGAAAAAGGATGGATTGTGGCGCCATAAATTGTTCAGCCAAGAGGACTTAGCTGCAGCACGACTGAAAATCAATGGAATGATCACTCACTCCCACTACTAAAATGTTCTTTTACATAAAAGTTTATCTTTCAGGTTTATTGTTTAATTCTATTTTTATTTTTTAAAACATTTTCAAATAGATTTAATAGAACTTTTTTATCTGTGGGACGCATTACATGGGAAAATTAGTGGCACGTCTATGCCTAACGTTTCATCGCTTTTGAAGTTAGATTTACGGTTTTCTATTTTTGCCCATTTACTTACGTTATTGGCATTGGCACGTTAGAAGGTCATTTGTTGAATTTGTTTAAAAAAAAGTGTTTACTTCACTTGTCGATTTCACACAAGCCAGTGACGAGGTTTCTAGAGCGGGGTCTGCAAATAAGATCTCAAGTACAAAAAATAAAATTTTAAGTGCAAGTTCTTACACACCAACAACAATATAAGTACTTTAGTTAAAATTAGAGTAATTTGATTTCAAATAAAAAAAAAGAAATTTGATATATATGCATTAATACAGCCAAATCATAAACATTTCTATTTTAAATTTATTGCAAAAATCAATCACAGTTAGATCGTTACTTTAAAGAAGCAATAAAATTGTTTTATTGGTTGTTTAATCTTATGATTAGTGACAAATCAGCTAGGATACCTTCCTGAAAATTCTTTCAATAGCAACACTAGAAGATGACGGGTTTTATGCTGAGTTGAAGCATTTGTTGCGTTCTTCGATACATTTTTCACGTCCGTCCAGTCAAATGGATGAAACGTACTATCATCTTTTCTTCAGCAGTGTCAAAATTTGAATAATTTATTTTTGAAAAACCATACTCAATAATTGTAAAAAACTTCAGGTGTGCGATTGTAAGGTTTTTATACACATAAATTTTTAAAATTTTAAATTATAATTTAACACCAATATTTTAAAAAAATTAATAGCTTTTGCACACTGTAGTTGCAAATGTTTCAAGTACAACGATGAGTACTTGAGTGTCAGACAGTTGAAATTTTAAAACTGGAGTACCAGTACCCAGCACAAGAGGCTCGTTAGCAAAGCACTCGCAGTTTTTGAAAACTAGAAATGGTTGTTCGGTCATATAACGCAGAAATTTATTTGTGGTATATTCAATTTGGAGTAATGGAATTATATATGACCAAAACAAATTTAAAGTAATGGAAAACAAAACCAAAACAAACCACTTTCATCAGAACTTTTTATGTGACTAGCTTAGCAAGAGGACGAAGCATTGATATGTTTTTAATCAGCCCATAAATGTCAGCTTGATCGATACCATCCAAACCTTGGCCTATAAAAATGCCATCCTAATGAACATTTGATTGTCGTTACATTTACCCAAGTGCTTCCGATGTTCATATGTTACGCTGGCAGGCTGGCTGGCTGGCTGGCTGGCAGACTGGCTGGCTGGCTGGCTGGCTGGATGATGGGCAGGCAAGCTGGATGGTCAGCTGGTTTTTTTATTTACTTTATAATAACAAGAATTTATCAGTAAGAGTGTGTTTGCACATGTGCTTTGGACAATAAAAAATTGTTTGTAAATAATTTATTTATTGTTTGAACAAATAGTTTTGTAATCTTCTTAAACATTTTTACTACTCGATGACATCATGCTGATTGAACTATCGCCACATAACGGACTTACATTACCAACATTCGAATACACATGCACGTACTGACATTTAAAACTCAGCTTAACGCCAATCTCACAATACAAATAACTCAAAGCTTTATGTATCGTCTCCGATTTATAACACAGCATAGCCGAACATTATTAACGATCGCAAAATTAAATTTGCCAACTCTTTTAACGACCTTCAATATTTTAAACGTTCATTGCCTCATCAGTCTTTCTTCTTTAATTCATTTCTTTTTCAATGCAAATTCTTATTTTTGTATCGCTGACTTTTATAATAATGAAAAATGCAGAGGCAGATCTATATTTAAAAAAATGTCCAATACCTCTATTCTTATTACGAAAACCTATGTTTATGATGTTAAAAGTCGTTCAGGTATTGTTGATGAAGAGATATGTTCGTTGCTGCTTATTCAATTCAGGTTTTTCTAAAAATATTTCATCTAATTTTTCATATGAAAAGTTATTTTGCCTTAGGAAGTTATTTGATATTTTATGATGCTATTTTCGTGACCATATAGGAGATGATGGATGAGTTAAGTTATAAATGAATTTTTATAGATTATATTTACAATTTTATGTTCGTTTTTATTTATTTTGTAATAATTCAAAATTCTATTTAAGAACATTGATAAGTAAAGCCTAAGACAATTGATGGCTCAGAGAGATGTTGGTTAAGTTGCTATTTTTCAGTAGAACTAAAAGTATTTGGTTTGGCTTGCTTATAAACTTGGATGAAACATTTGTTGGAAATTAATTAGCAACTTTTTGCATTATGTTGTTTTGAGACTAATTGATAAAAATAATTGAGGTGACGTTTATTTCGTTTTGCAAGAAAGAAAATTAGCTGGCCTAATATCTGCGACTCATCGATCATGGTCATTTCGAAAATTGCTTTCCAAATTTTCTTAAATCAGCAATCAGAAATAAAAATGTAATATTTTAAATTTAAATATGGTTTAATTTTTGAAATTAATTTTTAAACTTTCTCGTTCACTCAAATTATAATATCAATGTTTACCAATTGTTAATAAACCTATTCTTTCAGGTATTTACGAACGATTCACTAAGCTATTTTAAAGTTTTTATGTAAGTCAACCTCATCCAAATTTAAAAAATAAGAAACAAATTTTTGTTAAAATACTGATAGTGAGTGGCTGAGTAACTCGGAGATTTTTCGTCAGATCGTCACCGAGTGAGTGGAGCAACAAATTTTGATAAGGTCAGTAGGTTGGCACGTTCATATGTCACTCGCATAATATAAAGTGATTTATTATTATCGTGCTGCTGCTGCAACCGCTGCTGCTGCTGTTGTCGTTGTTGTTATAATGATGAAAGTTAGTGATGATGAAACAAGTAGAAATATAAAATTTCTTGCGCTGGTGACTGTTAACCACAATTTTTTGTGGTTATTTAAAACATTTATTTTTAATTTGCAGTAAATTGATTTTGATTTTGTACAATCAGACAACAGTTGTGACTAAATATGAAATTAAATATATTACACCGGAAGGTGTTATGATGTTTTTCGTTGAGTTGTACGAAAACTGAGTGATCACCTTCACTTCACACACATACTACCCAATTATTATTCTTCTCTGGGTCCATGCATTTATATGATTTGATAAGAATCCCATTTATTATTATCTTCAATATAGATGCAATAAAATTTTGGTTTTGTTTAGTGCTTGCTGAAAAATATTGAGTTTATTAGTTCCATATTATTTAATGATGGATTAGCCAAAAGTTGTTGAAAGAAAATAAAAATTGTACCATTTCAAAATAATTTCGCAGTCATATTTTTTTGTGACAAAATAATTTTGGAGTCGTAAAATAAAAGAGTCATTAAAAGCAATTAATAAAGAGCAGC